TATAACCTTATAAGATTTTCTTCCAAGAATCTAATTAATGGTTAAATATTTAAATTAACTAAATTTAGTTTGTCAATTTCTTGCCATAATGTCAAATATTTCTATTGAGTAAAAAAGTAAAAAAATATTTGTAACGTTTACGTAAGATTTTCTTTCTTTCTTTACCCAGCATTTAGGCCTACGTTGCATCCTCTTCTCTTCCTTTTTCAAAAACAGACACCCGTCCACCTTTTTAATATAGCCTTATAAGATTTTCTTCCAAGAATCTAATTAATAGTTAAATATTTGAATTAACTAAACTTAGTTTGTCAATTTTGTTGCCCGTTGATAGCACGTATTGTTAGATAGTTGTTAACATTATGTTGTATGTAATATGCATTTGATGAATCAACACAAATTATTTGTAATTGCTTATGAGCCAATTAGTTGAATAGGTGGTAAGTTTGATGTAATTTTAGTTAATGGTTCTACATTGGACCTATATAGATAGGTTTCAACGCCAAAAAATATCTCATTTCTAAATGGTATTCATTTTTGAATAATGATTTAGCAAGCAATGATTAATTGTATTTGAGATGTGCATACCAATTAATATTCTTTGCAGATTTTCTTTCAATTTTTCATTGTCAATAAGCTTATAAAATTTATCATTACTTTATGGGTTCAAAAACAAGTTAATTATATTCATACCCATTGTCAATAGGCATGTAAACCCTTCTAAAGATTAATGATTAGTAAAATTTTTGAATGTGCAAATTCACTCAAAATCATGATTATATATTCATTTTAGATTAATACTTTAAATTAAAATCAATTTGTTCAATAAAATTTTTTGGGTGAAAAAGTAGTAAAATTATTTAAGGATAGAAAACACCTATAGGAATGGCACTAAATAAAAGAATTCTACTTGAAAATTATAATTATCTGAAAAACAAACCAGACGAATTCATGCATATTCAATAATTAAGAACCTGAATAACAACATTAATTTTTTTGACGATGACAACCATAAAAATATATAATAGTTCCCTAAAATCCTTACTTTTTTTAACATTTTTTTTTCTTCAACGTTATTCGAGTTTTGTTTATAATATTGGCATTTGGCCCTAAAATAATGTCAAATATTCCTATTCAGAAAAAAATGAAAAAGATATTTGTAACATTTACGTAAGATTTTCTTTCTTTTTTTATCCGGCATTTGGGTCCACATTGCGTCCTCTTCTTTTCCTCTTTCAAAATAGACACCCTTCCATCTTTTTAATATGACCTCATAAGATTTTCTTCTAAGAATCTGATTAATGGTTAAAATTTTAAATTAACTGATAACTGAACTTAGTTTGTCAATTTCTTGCCCATTGATTGCACGTACTGTTAGACAGTTATTAACATTATTTTGTATGCAATATGCATTCGATGAATTAACACAAATTATTTGTAATTGCTTATGAGCCAATTAGTTGAATAGGTGGTAAATTTGATGTATTTTTAGTTAATGGTTCTACATTGGGCCTATATAGGTTTCAATGCCAAAAAATATCTCATTTCTAAATGGTATTCATTTTTGAATAATGATTTAGTGAGCAATCATTGATTGTATTTGAGATGTGCATACCAATTAATATTCTTTGCAATTTTCTTTCAATTTTTCATTCTAAAAAAAATTCAAATATTGGATTCGCTTATAGTTAAATTAGAGATACAAAATCTTATCATCCCTTTTGTGGGTTCAAAAACAAGTCAATTAAATTCATACTCATTGTCAATAAGCTCATAATATTTATCATTACTTTGTGGGTCAAAAACAAGTTAATTATATTCTCACTCATTGTCAATACGCTTATAAACGTTTCCTAAGATTAATGATTAGTGAAAGTTTTGAATGTGCAAATTCACTCAAAATCATGATTATAGATTCACTTTAGATTAATACTTTAAATTAAAATGAATTTGTTCAATAAACTTTTTTTGGCTGAAAAATTAGTAAAATTATTTAAGGATAGAAAACACGTCTAGAAATGGCACTATATAAAAGAATTATACCTAAAAATTCTAATTATCTGAAAAATAAATTGGATGAAATCATGCATGTTCAATGATGAAGTACCTCAATGACAACATTAATTTTTTTGTTGAGGGTAATAGTAAAAATGTATGTAACGATTCCCTAATATCCTTACTTTTTTTAACTTTTTCTTTTCTTCAATGTTATTTGACTTTTTTATAATTATTGGCATTTGGCCCTAAAATAATGTCAAATATTTCTATTGGGCAAAAAAGGAAAAAGATATTTGTAATGTCTACGCAAGATTTTCTTTCTTTCTTAACCCGATAGTTGGGCCCACATTGCATCATCTTCTTTTCCATTTTCAAAAATAGACACCCTTCCACTTTTTTAATATAACCTTATAAGATTTTCTTCCAAGAATCTAATTAATGGTTAAATATTTAAATTAACTAAACTTAGTTTGTATTTGATGAATTAACATACTATTAGATAGTTGTTAACATTATTTTGTATACAATATTCATTTGATGAATTAACACAAATTATTTGTAATTCCTTTTGAGCCAATTAGTTGAATAGGTTGTAAATTTGATGTAATTTTAGTTAATGGTTCTAAATTAGTCCTATATAGCTAGGGTTCAACGCCAAAAAATATCTCATTTCTAAATGGATTCATTTTTGAATAATGATTTAGTGAGCAATCATTAATTGTATTTGAGATGCATACCCATGCATATTCTTTGCAGATTTTCTTTCAATTTTTCATTCCAAAAAAATTCAAATATTGGATTCGCTTGTAGTTAAATTAAAGATAAAAGAATATTATCATCCCTTTGTGGGTTAAAAAACAAGTCAATTATATTCATACTCATTGTCAATAAGCTTATAAAATTTATCATTACTTTGTGGGTTCAAAAACAAGTTAATTATATTCATACTCATTGTCAATACGCTTATAAACCCTTCCTAAGATTAATGATTCGTGAAATTTTTGAATGTGTAAATTCACTCAAAAGATGATTATAGATTCATTTTAGATTAATGCTTTAAATTAAAATTCAATTTGTTCAATAAACTTTTTTTTGGGTGAAAAAGCAGTAAAATTATTTAAGGATAGAAAACACCTCTGGAAATGGCACTATATAAAAGAATTCTACCTGCAAATTCTAATTATCTAAAAAACAAACCGACAAATTCATGCATATTCAATAATTAAGTGCCTCAATGACAACATTAATTTTTTTGACGGTTCCTTAAAATCCTTACTTTTTTAAACTTGTTCTTTTCTTCAGCGTTATTTGACTTAAATGTCAAATATTTCTATCGAGAAAAAGGAAAAAATATTTGTAACATTCACATTAGATTTTCTTTCTTATTTTACTCTGCACTTGGGCCCACATTGCATCGCCTTCTTTTCTTGTTTCAAAAATGGAGTAAAATTATTTAAGGATAGAAAATATCTTTGGAAATGGCACTATATAAAAGAATTCTACCTGAAAATTCTAATTATCTGTAAAACAAACCGGACAAATTCATGCATATTCAATAATTAAGTACCTCAATGACAACATTAATTTTTGTGACGAGGACAATGGTAAAAATGTCTATAACGGTTCCTTAAAATCCTTACTTTTTAAAACTTTTTCTTTTCTTCAACATTATTCGACTTAATGTCAAATATTTCTATCGAGAAAAAAAGGAAAAAAATATTTGTAATATTCACATTAGATTTTCTTTCTTATTTTACTAGGCATTTGGGCCCACGTTACGTCGTCTTCTTTTCTTGTTTCAAAAGCAGAGTAAAATTATTTAAGAATAGAAAACACCTCTGGAAATGGCATTAGATAAAAGAATTCTACCTGAAAATTCTAATTATCTGAAAAACAAACCAGACAAATTCATGCATGTTCAATAATTAAGTACCTCAATGACAACATTAATATTTTTGACGAGGACAACGGTAAAAATGTCTGTAACGATTCCTTAAAATCCTTACTTTTTAAAACTTTTTTCTTTTCTTCAACGTTATTCGACTTAATGTCAAATCTTTCTATTGAGAAAAAAAGGAAAAAAATATTTGTAACATTCACGTTAGATTTTCTTTCTTATTTTACTCGGCATTTGGACCCACATTGCGTCGTCTTCTTTTCTTATTTCAAAAACAGACACCCTTCCATCTTTTCATATTTTTGAAAAAAAAAATGCACCTTTCGGTTCATCAATGTGTCAAATCTATGAATCTTTATAGAAGGAAAAAATCGGTGAAACATTTGGTTCTACTTAATTGTGTAATCTAGCATTAACCACCAAATCTACCACAATTTCAGCCCTAATGCAATTAATATTCCCTACCTACCCTATTTAAAAATTGTAGCATCCAACATTTAATACTTGCCACCTTTTTTAATATATGGCAAGTACTTATTTCCGTTACCAAAACGTCATAATTACATAATAAGAAAACAAAACCACCGCATGAGCCCTCACGTTTTAGGGCTATCCTCACTTTCACAATTTCAATTTCCATTTTCCTTTTTCATTTACAGCGGAAATCTTTAGGGTTTCTGCCTCCAGGACCAGCCTGCCCTTTTCCAACCCATCGTCTCAAACCTCCCGCGTGCATCCCACGAACCAATTCCTACCCGCCTTAGTGCTGAAGCATCGCCCACCTCACACCCACCCAGAAGACTCCAATAGCTGGAAACCCTCGTTTTCCTGGCGCGTGTCACCACGCGTCGAGACTCAAACTTGACTAGGGTTTTAAACCTGCCCAGTGGATGGTGATAAGCCTTCCACATTATGGCCTCGCTGGCGAGCTCCCATTGGCTGATGCCTTTCTCTGTCTTCTCCATCCTATAAATACACGAACAATACATGAGTTGTCATCCGTAGATTTTTTAACCTTATAGCCTCAGCTGAGAGAAAAAGCAGAAACCAAATAAAAAGAAGAAAGAAAAGAAAAGAAAAAGAGAGACTTGTCTTAGCAGTATTACTACTAGACTACAAAGCTACATAGACAATAGTGGTACTTTACTCCACTGTCTCGTTCTCTCTCTTAAGAAACCTCAGCTAAAACATTTTCGTTTCTCTCTCTACTCTTTTTCTCCTCCATTTCCAGACCTAAAAGCGGTAGGGTTTTGTCCTTCTTTCGCTCTTTAATTAATCTGGGTTGGTCTTGAATCAGTTTATGAGGTTGGTGTATTTTTCTTGACTGATTTTTTTGCTGTTGGATGACAGGTTTTTGGGAAGTGGCCGTGGAGGGAAACATTTCTGGGTGACGAGGGCTGTTTTGATCTGACAAATCTGAGTTTCCGGGAAGGTATGGTTTCTCATCTTCGTTGTGTGATTATTTTTGTGGGTTTTGGGGGGGGAGATAAGTGGGGTGGTTATGGTTTTTGGTGATTTCTACGAGGTTTGTAATTTTTTTAGCTGGGTTTTGGGCTGATATGTAGTTTCCTTGTGTGGATCACTGTTTACTAGTGGGTTTATGCTTTTTATTGGGGTGTTAATTCATGTCCTTTTCTGGCTCCATTTCTTATCTGGTTTCATTTATTTGATGGTATTTTTGTTCATTTCTAGATTATTTCGTATGCCTTAAACGGTTATCACGGTTGGATTTTGTCTTAAGATTTCAGTATGCAAAAAAAAACCCTAATTTTGGTTCTGGAAAATCTGAGCCAGATGAATCTCAGTCGGTGTAACTTTTTAAAGGTCTGTTTGGATGTGCTTTGTGGGCTTTTTGTCAATTGATGAATTCTGTCGATAGCTTTATCTTTTAATTTGGCTTCCAGTTAGTTAGATCAGCATTTTTATTTTTGAAAAAGTGAAACCCTAGTGTTGGTATGAGAAGTCATGGTCATTTTGTGCATGGTTTTGAAGATTTCTCAGTCGGTTTTGTGATTTGTCCACTTTAACACATGCAAGAGCGGATATGGTTGCTTTTTATGCAGCTTTATTTTTTCCTGTCATTTGGAACTAGGGTTTTTTACTTTATGCTAATAAGTGACCTTGATTTTTGCGGTCTATTGGAATTCATTTTGATTTTCTATTGGTGATCATTTTCTGGGTAATTGTATGATTAACGCTGCACTAGAAGGTTTGGTTTGGGTGTCATATGATTTGGTGTTGGAGGATGAATCTCACTGTGTGTGTGTGTGTCATTTTGGGGAATTTGAGTCATAAACCATTCTTGACTTTTAGAAATCTGACTTGTGTGGATCTCGTGTATGTGCTGCATGAGCCAAGTCAGTTTTTGTAGCTTATCTCATTTGTTTTACTTCACAATTGACTTATTTATGTTATAAAATAAATTTCCTCTTGGTGCAGTGGTTTGGACATGGAGACAAATAACAACACAGTGGAAGAAAATCCTCCACCCAAGTCTTCAGCACCTCTTATTCCAATCAGTTCAATTTGTATAGAACTACCACCAGCTCCAGTGGTGGTTAGGCAGCCCGGAAATTGTCATGACAACTTTTGTTTACGGTAAGCCTTTCTTTTTCATCTGTTTGAAACTTTGTGTGACTTCCAAAAATGAGATAGAAATTATCAAAAATGACTTTGTACATGCACGCACGCACGCACGCACGAATGCAGCACACACACAGAGATATACATACATATATATACATATATATATATATATATATTCCTTCTTTGAAGATATGTTGCAATCTTAAGTATTACATAGGAGTCTGAGCAACATGAATCATCTGCATGGAAATTGTTGTTTCTGGTATTCAGGTTGACTTCATACTCTTTTTGATAAAGCAAAAGCATAATTCACATAATGGTGAATGGCTATAACCATTGTCCATATGGATTAAAAAACCAGGAATGAGATGATATTATATATGTTCGCAATTAGGTTTTAGAAGACACTAGACAGACTTGTTAGGATTCAGAAGTCATTAGATAGATATGGTGACTAATGAATCAAGTTCTGCTAATGTTTTAAAGAATTTTGTCTTTTTGTGAGAATTGACTGACTTTTGAGTATTGCTGCTTATTCAAATGTCTTTTTGATTCTGGCAGTGAGTATGTACTTGAAAAGAGGAGCACTAATCCCAGTGGTTCCGGGCTGTTTTCACCGGATGACCCCATCGGTTCCATGGAACAACTTCCACCGATGGAGGTCCCGAGATTTAGATTTTGGCGCTGCACAGATTGTGTTAGTGAATTCGAGAGCACTACTGGTAATACATGATTTAATCTTATTGCTTTCCTGGTTGATCAATCACCAGTAGTTTTTTTTTTTTGATGCAACCTTTTTCTGCGTGCAGCTAAAGTGCTCCAGGAAACACAGGAAGGTGCTGCAACACTAAATACTGAGGGCATTCAAGCTGTTAATGCGAACGTTTGCTTGAATGCAAATACAGTAGAAGGTTCGTTATCACTAGCTAGAATGGATGAGATGGGTGCTGTAGGTATGCTTTTCCAATATAGCTTGTTCAATTTAGTGAAAAACATCTATAGATGACTTTGCTATATATTTCTGTATTCTCTAAGTGCTCCCAACTTTATTTGCAGATGATAAAAATGAGACAAATGAACCAGTGGAGGATGCAGCTGAAACTAATATAAATGGAGTAGCTGTTGAGACAAGAGAAGATACTCCTAGTGGTATGTCTCTATCGATTCTCTTATGGTTTTTGCAGGAATTTATATGTTAAATTTTTTAGCAGTTTAACTTGGATGTTGTGTATATGTTCTGATATTCAGAAATGTAACTGTTTTTGCAGGTCATGTCAATGTACCAGCACAAGAAGTTACTGCTGATGCCAATATCAGTGCTCCAAGTGAGCTGCACGAATCTGCTGATCAGAATGCTCGTGACACACGTAACACTGCACCAGCTGATCCTGAAAGTGAACAGTGCCGGGACCATGAAAATGCAACTGGTATGCCGCGTAAAAAAGTTAGAAAGGTCCGGTTGTTGACGGACCTTCTGGGTGAAAAGAGCAGTTCAAGATGTGGTGCAAGAGAAGCTGTGCCACTTGAACCTTCTCGGCCAGAGAACACCGGGTCTGAGGGTCAGATTAATCCCAGCAAAGACATTCATAGCAGTGTCCGTAGTCCTCTCAGAAAAACTAAGCCTGTTGGGGAAGAAGACGAGAGAAATGATCCCACCAACGTGGCAGTAAACACTAAGGCTCCCAGGAGAGATACTGGGAAAGCCATTATGATGGTGGAAGCCCGTGACTCAGAAGAGGAAGTGAATGCCTGTGGTGGAGAAGGATTATTCATTGGAACAAAGAGCGAACGGTTGAGGCACAGACGCAGCAGCACAACTCCTGCACTTGGTAGGCAAAATAGCAAGCAGCCTCAAGTACTTGATTGTGGTACCATTCCATCTTTGACAAGACGAGTACAGGCTCCTTCAGAAGCTGGGAATTTTGGGAATCTCCAGTCTGCTGAACAAAGAGAGCACGGTCATATTGATTTGGCATCTGGAGGGTTAAATCCACTACTATCTCTCAACAATGCTGCTGAAGGACTTGATCTTTCTCTCGACATTTTTGCTAAGAAAGCTATCAATCAAAGCAGTGAGGGTGTTAGGAAGGCTGGGATGCTTTTTGGGAAACCTCTTACACCGAATCAGTCTGATGGATATCAGAGAAGAAGTCCCCAGTTTGATCTCAATGAGAGAGCTTCACATAAGGAAATGGTAATCCTCGTCTACATATTCATTGTCTTTACAAGTGAATTTTGTGCATTGTTGGTGTAGTCAATTCCTTCTTACGTGATGTCCATCCTTTCAGGATTTTCTCCAGCTGGGTTTCAATGGAAAAAGCTCTGGAGTTCCAGGAAATTTGAAAGAAAGTGATCACAAGGCAGATGATATCCCCATGGACATCGTTGAGCTACTGGCGAAGCAGCAGTATGAAAGGAGGAATGGAGATGCAGGAGCAAGTTCTGGACCTTCTGGTGCTCATGTGACCAGCAACACAGCAAGGGGGTTTCTTGAGGTAGGCGAGATAAGGACTGTGGGGCAGTTCGTAAAGGAATTTCCCAACTTCCCTAGCTTCCGAGGTGTTAACTCGCGAAGTGGGATTTCTACAGCAAGCAATTACATAGGGTCTGCTAAGGGAAACTCCACTAATTTCTCGCACATGGGAAGAAACAATTTCAAATTGTTCCAAGGAGGGGAAAATCAACTCAACAGCATTTTCACGGCTTTCGCACATAACCAGCACAAACAATATGGCGGAGTTCAAGTTCCTGCTACTACTTCCGTGAGGCCTGATTTGCCGTGCAGTGAACCTGTGGACCCTTTATTGTTATCAGGACCTACCAAATTGTCTTTTGAACTTGGGGTGCAACAGAAGCTTCCTGGTGAGCAACATAAAGGCAAAACTATCAGCGACATCAAGGCAGATGAGCTTAAAAGAACTGAGGAAGCTAGGCTAATGTTATCTAAACCAGGAGATACCATTGTTAGCTCAAAAGAAAGGGGCCCACTAGATGCCTATGCTAATGATAGCATTCCAGCAATGCAGCTACTAAGTCTCATGGATGGGCGGCCATCAGGAGCTACTTTCAATTTGGGCTCAAGCAAGATCGTGGACAAGCCATTTGCTCCCTGCAGTTATCACCCCAGGTTCAGCACAAATGAGAGACAGGATTTCCTGAACCGGTCCTTCCTTTCAAGCCCAAGTCACCCAAAGGAAACTTCTGGCCTCAGGATTTCTTATTCTGATATCTACCAAAGATCGAGGCCGCTTCCAGCTGTTTTACCTGGTAAAAGTCAACTTTCTTAAATTTCTTTTGATTTACTGTTCCTAAGTTTGATTTAGTCACTGCCACCATGAACTGTTGGATATCTTACTCGGATCCTTGTTCTTTAGGTCAAATATCTTTCAAAACTCCAGAACAAGAGAAGCCAAGGGAGAAATCAAAAAAGAGTGGGTCTGGCACTGGTTTTGGTCCGAGCTCTTCTCGTGGCAAGGACAAGCAAACAGCAACTCTTCATGCTTCAGATTCGATTGTGCATCCTCAGAAGCATCACAGACTTGAAGGTCCACGGAGGTTCAACTTGGAGGCCTCTGGTATAACGGGAGGAGTTGGGCGAGCAAATGGCGTGTCATCAGAGGGGGAATGTGGTTGGAACAGAAATCCTGCTGATTTTAGCTTGCCTGTAGCAGGAAATGAATACACAATCTGTGCAAGGGATCTGAAATTTCGGAAGAGGAATGCATCAAGGGAGAAGCGTTCAAGCGTTAAAGCTAATGGTGCAAAGAGGCAGAGGAAGGCCAAGTCTGGGACTGAGCCTCAATAGAGTTATGCCTCTTAGGGTTGCAAATTATTCTGCAGCAGCACCAGATGTGTCATATGGAAAGCAGAAATTCATGGTTGAATTCTCATTCATATTTATACCTTAGAACACAGAAGTTTTTGGATTTTGAATTTTCAGCAAATTTTGCTGGATTTTAGTGATTATCAAATAAGACAGTCAAATTATGTCAATGTTTTAAGAAAATAACTGTCTTGGTTACATCATACAAGTTTAACCTGATTAGGACCTGGATATCTTGCTTTGTATATGTTTTGCTTAATCATATATGCTTGTCCTGATTAGGTTCCAGGATCTTTGCTTTTGTGCTATGTGCGTGCAAATGATGTTTAATATGTTGCTTTAGCAAAATATACCTGACTTATGATGTCTGAATTTCAGAAACGTATATTTGGTTTGTGTATGCTCATCCTGCATTCGAAACATGGAGCAGAGATAGAGCACAATAGTTCATGCTTGTTGGGCAAAAGCAACTAAGCATTGAAAAAATGCCGAGCAGCATATAGCTTCTTGGGTTGGTGCTATAGCTAATACTTCCAGGATTATCTTGATCGCTTGTGTTCAAGAAGGACAAAGAGAACATGAATGTAGTCCTTACATTTCCTGCTCTAATGCACCCTCCCTGTTTCTGAAATTTTGATTATCTTTTCGATGTCTTAAAAGGTTGAAAGCCAAGCTGGCTTCAATTCTGGATTCTGCAGTAAACAGGGAAAGCTTTTACCTCAGAATGATTTGCGTCTGCATTTGACAGACAACCTATCTTTAGCAAAATATGCTTGAATCTCGATGTCTGACTTTCAGAAAAAGTGTGCGTGCTTCATGTTTGCACATCCTGCATTCAGAACATAGAGCAGAGATGGAGCACACTAGTTCGTGCTTGTTATGCTAAAGCAATTCAGCAGTTCAAAGCATATAGCTTCTTGTGTTGCTGTTTAAGCTAATACTTCCTGAAAGATCTTGATTTTTGTGTGAAAGATCTTGATTTTTGTGTTCAAAATCAATAAAAAGAGGATGAACGTAATCCTGACATTTCCTATTCTTATGCATCTGATTTTTGAAAATTTGATATTATTTTCAATGTCTTTAAAGGTTGAAAGATCTGCAGTAAACACGGAAAGCTTTTACCTCAGTATAATTTGCTTCTACATTTGACAGACTACCTATCTGCTGCATATTTATACGGGGTGTACTTGGTTTGCAAATCACATTTTACTGCCGATCAGGTAAGATACTCGAATTTATCAATTTTTTTTTATGTTTTAACTCTGACATAGACAAAATATTGCTTGCTGATATTACAATTGGTGCTTTCTTTTGAGTCTTGAGGTTCTTTAGAAGGGTTCATTAATCAATCCAGAATGGAATGATGATCTCTTGCTTTCTGTCCTCAAATTTTGCAGCGGGAAAGCTGGATTTTGATTAGCTGAGATTGATGTCTAGCCAAAGATAATCTCTGCAATGGCATTTGGAGATATTGGGATCCTTTTACACCCGGAATTGGCTATAATCACATGACAATTGTGTACTGGAAGGTAACACTGTAGACATGAGCACAAATTCTGCACATAATACTGAGATTCTGGATTTCGTATTCAAGAGAAACAGAATTATTATTCTAGATTCACAGGATATATATATTTAAGAATTAGGTACACAAAGTTTTTCTCTCTATTTGCGTTTACAAAAGAATATGATCGATTAACTACCCCCCCCCCCCCCCCTTTTTTTTTTTTTCTGTGTTAATCTTTTATGAAAGCTGGCTGCTAGTTCATAGGGAATTTAACCTGGACAGCTACCTGTTTGTTAAGGAGATTAAAATGCCAAATATTAGCTCAAAACTTCCAGATGATTTTTCACATTACAAGGAGGAGCAACTTTTCTGGCAAGAGAAAGGAAGTTCTCTGGTATCAAAATTGCATTCTTAAGCTTCAGGTGCTAAGGGGTTCATTTTCTTGATCTTTTTTTCCCCTAAGAGGGTGTTAAGATTTGGATTTTGGATAGGCAGAAGACTACTACTATTATTTTGATGCCGACCTTTTAATTTTTCAGGCATCTTACGCAAAATCATGCTTTTCTCCAACCCCACACAACTCTCCTCCAAAAGAAAGTCTGATGACCACTAATTATGTGCTTTCTCCGAAACTTAAAATTTTCAATTAAGAAAAGGAAAAAAAAAAAGAAGAAGAAGAAGAAAAGAAAGAGAACTGTCCACCTCACCTAATTAAAAAAAAAAAAAATTCCACCTCACCTACACCTGGTTTCTTTGCCAGGTGAATTTTTTTATTAGGCCAAGTGAATTTTATAGTACTTAATTTGTCCTTTTTGGTTGATGTCTCCATAACTTTATTTTTTTCAATGTTGTTATACAATTAGTACTATAAATTAAAAAAATTAAGAAATTAGTATAACTTTTGACATCTTAGTATAAATTGGTATAAATTAGTTGTTAACTTTTGAGAAATTAAAAAATTAGTTATACAATTGACATCTTAGTTTAGTATAACGCGTGAGAGCGCGTGCAGATATGGAAGTGTGATAAGATATTGCAGCGCGATTTAGTCAAAGTGGAGCTTATTACACTTTTTAGGGTTTCATTGACCCACAAAACAAAAAAAAAAAAGAAGAAGAAGGCAAGAAATCTATAAAGAGAGAGAGAGAGAGATACAGGCAGAAAAAAGAAGTGGGCTGCAGCTGCATCATAGATGGAGGCTAAGCTAAGGCTAGGGCATACGTACAAATAACGGCAGGCATCATCCACCTCTTAGCCTACCTTTCTTTAAATAAAGAAAGAGAGAGAGAAATCCGATGTGAGCAAGTTATTTGTGTGCCAGCCAACTTTAGTGCCCACTAGACTAGATCAAGGTGTATACTTCATCAGGAAAGCCATCTACTTGTACTGGTAGTTTTCTAGGCCTCATCAATTCTTGGAATCTACTTTGCCTAGACAAAATTACTAGCACATATGTGCTTTCCTCGGATTATATGATGGCTCTTAATTTTTTTTAATGTTTAATATAAGTAAGAAGCTTTGAATTCGAGATTTTTTTACACAATTTCTCCTCTTATATCATCCCTTTTATTTGATGGCTCTTAATTTAAAGAATGAACTATATTAACAATAAAATATGCATAGCAACTCATTGAACAAAAAAAACAAAGAATTCTTTTGTTAACATATTTTTTAAGAGACAAACATTTATATATTCTTTTGATAAAAAAGTATTTTTTTAAAGAGACAAACATTTATATTTTGAGAGAGAGAGAGAGAGAGAGAGAGAGAGAGAGAGAGAGAGATTTATTATATTGGTAGCCAGCATAAGCTCAATAGGAAAAAAAGAACTTCTCTAAAACCGTGGGCGATCCAAGCATTGCGCGCCACTTTTTGTTTAACAAATCCACAGATCTATTGCAGTTCTATCATCACTACTAATCAACTATTGAACAAAAGTGTGATTATAGAGATTGAACCGAGAACAATGAATGGAATGAAGGGACGAAAAAAAAAAAATCTTGATTCAGCATATTTGGAAACTATAAAGATAATCAAACTCGGGATCTAAGAAAAACATGTTTGATTTGCAGCTTCTGGGAGTAATTTGTAGTCTTAAAATGTAGTTCTCAAAGGCAACATACTATTTTGTTTTTTTTTTAAAAAAAAAACAACATGAGAAAATCACTCAATATCTATTGCCATTTCAATTTGGCAAAACCTCTTGTTTGCGTGGATCTTCATACCTACCATTTGAATCAGCTCGATCTATGTATTCTGTGGGCAGTTTCAGCAAAATTTCCTTTCTCCACTATATTCCCAGATTCAGTCATTTTCTTTCTTTTTTTTTTACGCCAGATTCAGTAATTTTCACCAGTTCTTTTATTTGTTTGGACAGCAGATTATTTGGTCAAATATATTTGCTGACATCACCATTACAATTTCTAATACAGCTTTTTATCTTCCCAATTACCTTTTTATCTCACATACATCACATCACAAAAAGTGTTACAGTAATTATTCCAAATAATACTGTATCCAAACAAACCACTGGCTTCTTTTTCAGTTGTGGCATGCACAAGAGGGAGTCCTTGACTTAATTAATTAGCAATTAATAGATTATGCCTATGAAAACAAAAAAGTGATTATCATTAGGTAATTATCAATGGATTACTATTTTTGAACATATTATTGCACTCAAAGTGGTAAATAGAAGTGATTAAAGTTTAGGTATACATGAATCCTTTACTTTTATACCATGCGACTTAGGGAATTGTTTAGCAGGAAGGAAAAATCTCTTTACATATAAAAATATCTCTCACAACATATTTAAAGCGCATTAACATTAACATTAACATCGTGGTCTAAGGCAAAAGTGGAACCTTGAGATGTAAGAATTTTACCAGAAAAGCATGCACATTTGTCTTTAAGTGCGTTCCTTCAAAATCAACATCTATTTGCCCACAACTATACCCTTCTAAAGTTGTTACAAGTTAGCCAATTCCAGTGGACCCTATATGAATATCTCCATCCCTTTCATTTCCTGTTCTCTTAAAAGCCTGGCAAGATTTTGGGGTACAATTAAAAGATTTACACGAAGATAGAGGTCAAATTCAATGGGAGGATGTGATAATTGTGGTTCAGGATTTTCAGAAGAAAGGATATTATTATGTGTATTGACTAATTAATAGTGCATTGACCAATGGACCAAACCCTCCTGTATTTGTCACATTTTTGCACCATTTTCCAAGTGATCTTGATCCTTTTGACTTTCACATTTTTGCACCATTTTCCAAGTGATCTTGATCCTTTTGACTTTCATTGGGCCATGCACAGAAATTCAGAAGAAACAGATCCATATATTTGTTGTATATATAGTCAGTCATTCGTTAATCTTTTAACACAAAAACAAGTTGTTGGTATGACACCTTTAGAAGATTTCATAAATATTTAAGAGAATCCCCTTTTGCAAAAGAAGAAGAAGTCTAAGATTTTTGGTCCACAAACACCCACTTTCAAAGGGTCCAGCTGATCCAATCTTCAAGAGCATCATATGGGTGACTATTTAGCATCCATGTTTGGCGAAATTTTGAGCTTTTGGGTTCAATTTGTATTTTTTTTTCTTTTTCTAATCTTTTATAATTTTTAATAAAAAGTCTTTGAGGTGGATCTATAAAGAGAAGCTGGAGCTTTCATGGGAGAATCTTGATATGGTAAATTAAATATTTCAGCAAATTTAGGTTTTTAAAGCCTTATATGGAAATAAGGTTTTTAACGTAACTCACTTTGAAAGCCCTCATGTTTAATGCTCTTAAAAGACTTAAAGAAGAGAGCAGTACTGTAAAAACGTGCGTTTCTGCATTTTTTTCAATTGTGGCAACCCCAGTCAAAGAAATTGGACACGAGGAAATTGAGTTGAGTACTGTACAAAGTACTGATTCAAGAATATTGGTACACAGATTTTAACAACAATCCAGGGATGCTTTGATAGATATATTGCATACCTCAAATCAGGTGGTTCAAGAATACCAAATCCTTGGTGATTAACGTAACTTTTGTTCCAAAAAAAAGAAAAAGAAAACTTGTTTTCTTCTCCCCTCCCAACCCCCCCTCCCCCCTCCCTCTCCCAACAACAAATGGAATCTTGGTGCATGTCCTTTTATCATTTGAGAATTTCTTTATGAAATTCTCCTCCGAGGTAGTGGTCAACTGGTGCTGTACCAATAAGACACTACTGTCTTTTCTTTTCTAATTTTCTTGTTCCACTTCAATGCTCTATATTGGAACACAACCTTAATTTGCAGCTCCTGGGAGTAATTTGTAATCTAAAACACACAGTTCTCGAACGTGATAGGTTTTTTTTTTTAACAAAACAAGATGAAAATCACGCAATATTTATTGTCATTTCAACTGGGCAAAACACCTTGTTTACAGCATCCCACATTATATAGCACTGCTTATAGGCCCACTGGTCTTATCTGAATCAGCTCGATCTATACTGTATTTGGTGTTATTCTTGTTGAAAAGGGTTTGAGCTAAACTGCCTTTCTTTGTAATATTCCCAGATTTGGTAACTTTCACTAATTTCTCAATGGTTTCTTTTGGGTTGTGCCACGCATGAAAGGAAGTCCTTAATTTTCCATGGAAAGACTTGATATTTAGGGTGATTAATCAACAGATTTTGTTCTGGACATATTATTGCACTCAAAATGAAAATCCCTTTTTTTTTAATACGTTAGAAAAAAAAAGTGATCAGCACTTGCCAATATAGATTCTTTACTTTCCCACTATAACAAATGGAAAAATATCTCGTGAATCAATGACCTTACATTAAAAAGAAAAAATCTGTCCCAACATATTTAAAGTGCATTAAACATCAACATGGTGCTCTTAAGCAAAATTGGAACCCTGGGAAGTGTGAATTTACATGTGTTTCAATGGAAATCAAGCACAAAATAAGCTTCACTTGTCTCAATACATTGTACCTACCCATATATGATTGTTAATGAACTCCAAAAAACTGTCACGTTTTAGGTGATTCCAGTCGAGTGGTCCCTTTTGCAATTTCTTGGTCCATTTGAGCATTGCCATGCAAGAGCCGGGAAGTTGCTAATGAAATGAACCTAAATTTTCCATCCCAAAGAGTACATGAATATAGAGGTCAACTTGGATGACAGTGG